ACCATACCCATACACTACACATATAATATTAGTATGTTGTACGAGCCCACGAGTAAAACGAAAGTGGGGAGAGTGCGGGGTAGCGGGGGGAGGAGCGGTGCGGATACGGGGTCGGCGGCCCAAACACGTGGAGGCGCGCACCGCGGCTCCGCCGCGCCGAAACCGCAGTACCGGCCTCCACGTGCAGTCGGAGGACATTCACTCCGCCTCGTTCCTCGCTCCTCTCTACCCGTTCGCGCCCCTTTATGGCCCCGTATGTGCATCCTGATTTTCCTGATCGCCGCATGCCGTACACAACAGACATTGCACTGTGAACGGTCGTCGTGTTTGAACGCGAGCAATAAAATAAATATTGTATAATAGGTGTAGAACAAATAATGAGTTACACGCAATCTCTTCAAATCGACATTATTCGTTCGGCAGGTGAAGACGAACGCATGCACCAGTGTGGGGAATGCGGGCTGACGCTGTCAACCCGCAGCGCACTCACCGCCCACGCCCGGTCGCACCGCGTCGCCGCCGATGCCCACCGCTGCGACGTCTGTCACAAGACCTTCGCCGTGCCAGCGCGGCTCGTCCGCCACTACCGGACCCACACGGGCGAAAGACCTTTCGAATGCGAATACTGCCACAAGATGTTCAGTGTTAAGGAGAATTTACAAGTTCACCGAAGAATTCATACCAAGGAGCGGCCGTACCGCTGCAGCGTCTGCGGCGCTGCCTTCGAGCACTCGGGAAAACTTCATCGTCATGCCCGCATCCACACGGGCGAGAGGCCGCACGCCTGCCAGCATTGTCATAAAACCTTTATTCAATCCGGGCAGCTGGTCATTCACATGAGAACGCACACAGGAGAAAAACCATATCGCTGTCCGGCGCCGGGCTGCGGGAAGGGGTTCACGTGTTCGAAGCAGCTCAAGGTGCACTCCCGCACCCACACAGGCGAGCGGCCCTATACTTGCGACATCTGTCTGCGAGACTTTGGTTACAACCACGTGCTCAAGCTGCACCGCTTCCAGCACTACGGCGAGCGCTGCTACCGATGCACGGTCTGCGACGGCACATTTAACACGAAGAAGCAAATGGAAGCTCACATATACAAAGAGCACGGAGCGGAAACACCTCGAGCGGCCGCAGCGTTATCTACCGTCCCCGTGGCCAGCAACGGCAACCCGATGTGTGACCTCGTGAAGGTGGCCTTGCAGCAGATGCCACCAACCCCGCCGAGCTCGCCACCGTCGCCGCCGTGCACCATCACGGCGGTCCCCGCCGCTGCGTCGCCAGCCCTCATCCCCGCTGCCGACCCCGCGCCCGCGCCCCTAATCACCCCGATCCCCGCCTCAACTCCATCCCCGTCCCCCTCACCTCCTACGACCAACCTACAATTCACTCTCGCTCCTTCCTCTCTACCGCCTAGAAAGCGAAAGCTTATTCCTTATCACGATTCGTTGTCCGCATCCGCTACGGTGTCGGTGCCCGCGGTGCGCCACACGTCGGTGATACAGTTCGCGCCGCCCGCCGCCGCCGGCCTCTCCTAGCATCACTTAGCTTTCAATTTGTAATTAAATGTTACACGTTAGTTGTAAGATTTCTATCCAAGGCTGTATAAGAAGATGGTAGAGTTGGTTAATTTGTACTGTTTAGTATGGTGTATATGTGGTTGTTTTGCAAATTTTCCAATAATGTCTGGTACGTGCAAGAATGATTGTTTCTATCTGTAACTTGGTAAAAGACTAATTAGTTCTTTAATTAGATTAATTGTATCGTCATTGTTTATTAGAATAACTTTTGTATTTATCTTTTATGTGTTTATTTTAAGTAAAATAATATTACAAAATTGACTTTTCTTAGCAATTGATTGATAACTAATCCCTCCTGCTCCCCAGAAAAACCTATTTAAAGTAAAGGAAGTCATCGGAATCCGTTGAAAATGTTTCACATTATACCGTATCCAATTTTCTTATCGAATAAATATAATTGAGTCAACGGAAACACTAGTGGCCAGGTCAGTTGTTAATATACAAATAACCGGAACAATAAGTGAGGTGTCGCCGTTATTGTGTAATGGTGAACCTAGCAGTTGGCAAAAGAAGATGGGTATACATCGGTTATTCCCAAAGTGGTCTAGATAGTAAAGTTTAATTAAACTTTATGACACTCTGGTAAAATTTAGTTCTGGTAAACAACTTCGCCACAAATAAATGTTGTAATTATTTATTTGCGGCCAAGTTGTTTACCAGACGACATTCCTTAAGTTTTTTTATTGTGTTTGTAATCCAGGTAGGTAGTACTCGTAAATGAATAACGTACTTATTACAATAAATATATGCTGTTTTTTATTGCGATGTTTTTCATCGTGAACTTTAATTACCTACTAGCTGTTGCACACAACACGATCCCCGCAAAATTAAAAAAAGTTAATTAGTAGCCTATGTGTTCTTCCAGGCTATGTTTTAAGTCTGTACCAAATTTCAGCGAGATCCATGCAGACAGAAACCTTCTATATAACCAACATCCATACATATATCGACATATTCGCATTTATAATCCGACAACATTATCTGACCCGGCAATATAAGTTGAACAAAATTTTGATAGCTCAATAGCGCCCCCCAGTCAACATCGAAAAGATTCTCAAGATCGTGTTTTGTATGGGGTTATTTACTTTAATCTTTGTTTTTAGCAGTTTATCTCACTATGACGCTAGATTAGCTAAGATTTGTAGACGTTAAATGTGAACATGTGACCTATTAAAATGGCTCTGTCATTATGGACTCCCCTTACAAAAAGTTTATAAAGCGGCCAAGGTAAACCGTTACCGCCAAAATGGTGAAAATCAAATAGGCAGAAAAAACCACAGCTTATAGCCTGTTCCTGTATTGGGGTAAGTGGATACATTTGGATACATACGAATTCATAAAATATTTATTAAAGACCAAATGATTGGACATTTCGCCAGAGACCCCAGAACAAATTCATAAAATTATAAGGAAGCAAAAAATAAAATTTCTGTCCTTAGTTTTGCTAGTTAAAATTTTTTTATTAACTGATTTCCCATAGATTATAAGATTTAAATTATATTATTCAATTTTAATACATAATGACTACATTTTTTTTATTAAATAATATTTTTTTAGTTGTGGTATTTTATTTTAAAAACTCCAAATAAATCACATAACCATATGCCATAATGCCATCACATCACTAAACATTATAAAACTGCCAACACTAAACTTGACGCTTGACTTGACTTTGACATGCGTTGACGCCTATATTACCGACGCCATATTTGTATTGTAATGTCAAACAAATGAAAAAAGTCGCCGGTTCCATTTTTTAATTCTTCTTTTCCCGCTAGTTTTGCATTTATCTTATTTTTGCGTAATAATCACGAGCTAAAAATGGCAAGTATCATTACATTTTACCTTTGTGATAGATCAACATAATTAAATGCACTATATTTTTGATGCCTTGAAGTTATTTTGTTTTTATTATGATATTTGCTTTTATAGCTAAATCCAATGTGTAGGTCTAGAATCGTAAATAATATGTTACTATGTTTTTTTATTCCAGACTATCGGAAAGAATAATAAAATGCAACAGCATATTAACTATAGAGTAAGAGTAATTTTACAAGATTCTAGGACTTTCATAGGAACTTTTAAAGCATTTGATAAACACATGAATTTAATACTAGGGGATTGCGAAGAATTTAGGAAAATTAAGTCCAAAAACAGCAAAACTGCGGACAGAGAAGAAAAGAGGACATTGGGTTTTGTCCTACTGCGAGGAGAAAATATAGTATCTCTTACTATCGAAGGCCCACCACCGCCAGAAGAAGGCTTACCCCGTGTCCCTCTACCAGGTGCTATCGGCGGCCCAGGAGCAGGCCGAGCAGCAGGACGGGGAGCGGGTCCAGGAGGACCTCCTCCTGGTCTGCAAGGGCCAGCGAGAGGAGTCGGTGGCCCATCGCAGCAACATATGGCACCAGGATCAAGAGGACAGCTTTCAGCGCCTCCTCAAATGCGTGGGGGTCCTTTGATGGGTGGTCCTCCACCGGGTATGATGGGAGCACCTCCGGGAATGGGCCGTGGTGGTCCTGGCAATCGCGGACCACCAGGAATGCGCCGTTACTAATTCTAAGTGATGTGTATTTTTAGTGTTAAGATAAATGAGTGCATTTTGTGAATACACCATAAGCATCAGTAAGTTTGAGTTTAATTATTAAATTTTAGCCATTGACATTGTACGATAAACAAATGTTTTCAAAATATGAGGATGTCAGTATTTAGGATTTAATAGAAATAAGTTTATTTATAAGAAATACTAAATTACTTTAACATTAGGTGTTAATAAATAAAATTATCAAAATTTTCAGTTTCTGAATTTGCTATCTTCTATTAAATTTCAAGTTTCAATAGAATGCCATATGTAAACTCAAAAAAGGATTACTGTAGTGGTTAGTTCATATGATTTTTATTTTGTTTTTATAAATGTTATGAACTGAGTGTGCCAGATGAACTGCGCCTCAGAATCAGGCAACATTTAAAACTATATCTCAAAGACAATTTAGAGTTAGGGAGGGATTTACCAATAGATTAAATACAACTGTTATAGTAGTGGATTTTTAACAGTGGTCAAATCCTCCCTGCAATAATATTAGTAGTAAAGCAATTGCTGCAGGCATCTGCAATAAGTTAAAATGTAGCCCAACAGTTGCCTACTTTAATTAACACAGATAATATACAGAAAATCCATATCCCCTCCCCATCCTTTACTTACTAGAAAAAAACAATACTGACAAAAAATAATTGTGAAATTGAGGTGTTGAGTGGGCTATTTGTGCTGGCGCTGCGGTTGCTACCTGTGATCAAAAACCTTTTCAGTGTAAACTGCAAACAACATCACTTGATTTAACATCAGACTCCTTTAACATTGATATTGCTTGACTTCTGGTTTACCTTAAAATAACAAAATAATTGAGGGAAAAATCAATTTTACAGATTTTAATATATTTTTTATTTGTAGATTCATGTATATAAAAAAATTGAATACAAATACATTAATTTAGAGATAGTTATAAGATTATAAATAAATAATAAACTAGTGACAATAACCGCAAGAAGGATGGCATCGTTTGCCATCAACTCCACACCTGCAGCCAGCGCTAGTATCGCCGCGGCCGCCCGGCCCCCAACGGCGGCCTCGCGTCACCCAGCATATCTCAGTTTTACATGCAGAACATTTTACCCAGTCACAGCCCCATTTCTTTGTGATGATGGCACTGCACTCCGGACACTCCAGAGCTTCGCCTCGACGTTTGAGCGAATCCAGCAATGCTCTGGTGCCCTCGTCAGTTTCATTTGTTTGAGCTGCTGTGACTGCCGTGCGTAGTTTCGTTTGGTAATGTTCACATGTTTCGCCGTCGTGTATAGCCTGGAAAATATATTTCGTCCATCAAATACATATCCCAATATTTCAAACAAAGATTAGTAATATTGCTTAATGCATTAAGAAGACCATTTGTAATCTCCAAACCTACAAGGTATAAACGATGAAATAAAAGAATAAAATCATCTTACAGGTACCGTACTTCACAAAAACGACTAACATAAGTGTAATCGGAATCATTATAAATATGCTTATTATCTGACCTACCATAGGTTTCTGAGAATAAAATCTCTGGATAAAACATATCGTCATCCCTATCTTTATTTTCGCAACGATGACAGACAGAAACCCAGGGTTAATGGACATTGACTCTTTTAAACCTTAGTCGAGGCCTGCTGTATTGAACAACATAGAGAGATATTACCTGGCAGGGAACACAATTATTGCATTTGCATACAGGACATGGGAACTTTCTGACTCCAGGTTCACAGAGAGCCCAGCCCGTACAGTCACGTGTGCGACAATGGAATGCGTTTCGAGTTCCACATTCGGCGGTGGCTAAGCCTCGTGCAAGCCATCGCTCATACTCGTCTGTAGATAATAAGGCACGTATTTCACGCTCCTGTAGCATTCCAGGGCATCCAATAGCCGGACACGACACTACCGCCTCCTCGCAATGCCTTACAACATCTGCAAGACAATCTCTGCAAAATGTATGGATGCATTCACGAAGTACAACGCCTCTCCCGCCTTCACATTCGTCCATGCAAACGCCACATTCAAACGCATCCATGTTTGGAACAATGGCTTGCTGCTCAAGCTTCATCAGTTCCATATAAACATCCCCAGCCCTATTATCTGGAATCATTTCATTACTTGAGCCATCTTCACTGTCTCGACTACCATTGCCTGTAACCTCCTTCTTAGTTTCTGAAATAATGTTTTATCATCAAATAAGTAAATTGGCGCAATTGATCTAGTTACGCTAAAACGCAGCAAAGAAATAAGAATTATGGAGTTTCGGATTTCTTGATCAAAGAATTAAGGGTAACAACTTACCAGACTCTACTATACATAAATAAAAGGGTGCACTCAAGTCGGGACCAGCCAGAGATGTAAGAGATGTGGAATCATTCATACATAAGGTTCTGCCAACTATCCATCGTTGTAATCTAGAATCGAGCCCCAGCGACGCCTCCGCTTGACGCCGCAGCTCCCGCATCGTTGCTTGCTTTGATATTCGGAACTGTATCGGACCGCGAGTGGTTTCTTTATCCTCAACCCATATCTTGATACTGTAAGTAAAATTAAAGTTTCGTACTCGTAAGTTTCTCTCTTACGGTAGGTTTCCACTGCCGACACACCCGGTAACGTACCATTTTTTGTTTTAATGTAGATTCTATAATAACCCTAAACACAACAATTAAACTTGTTATAGTTTCTGCAGGCATATAATTTTTTTTAACTATTTGTTAATTTTACTAATACTATCAATGCGCATGTTTGGATGGATGGATGTTTGTTAGAAGGTATCTCCAGAACGGCTCCATGGATCTCGCAAAAATTGATTGATTGTAGAACATACCCTGGAAGAACACATAGGCTACCAATTTTTTTAAATTCCGTTAGTCATAGTTATAAAGTTCGTTTAAGTCACAAATATTGACAATAAGTCGAAGTGTGAAGAGAAAGTTTTTCAGTTTGGTAATACAAGTACTTACGCCATTATCTTATTTTCTTCGTGATTAGATTTTATAGCGGGGATCTTGCTTTTTGAATCTACCTGGGATACTTTATCTTCTTTAGATATTCCTCGTTGGTCTTTTGATGTAGAAGGTCTATTCGTATTCTCACGCTCACCACTTTTGTTTAAAGAAACAACTGGTGTTTTATTATCTGGTGAATCTTTTCGCTTTGTTGATTCTTTATCGACCTTTACTTGCATGGGATCCTTTTTTGAACCGCTTTTCGTACTTTTATCTTTTTCTTCTTCAGATTTTGCGTTAGAATCTATAATTTTAGTAACTACAGGATTTCCAATTATTTGTGACGAAAAAGATAAAACGGAACATGACAAACGCAGCTTAGCGAGTTTAACGGCAGCTTCAGCAGCTGCCTGTTCATCTCCTGTCGCTATAGATTGCTCTAACTGATTCACTAGCTGCCTTCGCCTTATATGATGTTCCGCCTTACTGACACCTTTATCCTGCTTGTCTTTGGACGATGAAGGTGTAACGCCTAAAACCTTACATACAGATGTATTCGTGCTATATTGGCTCTTTGTAATTAATGGAGATTGCAATTGTTTTTCTTCGGGTTCTTTCTCACTTGGTTCTGATATTTCTTTGATAGGCATTAAAGGTCTTTGATTTATCAATACCGTAGGAGGCTGTGAAATTACTGCAGATGATAAAGTTACCACATCGGTTTTTGTCCCTTTAATATTCTTTAAATTCACCTCCGATGCAGACTTAGGTGATGTCATCGGGCGGTAAACTGGATTCAAAAGCGATGAAATTCTCAAAGGTGTGTGAAGGCTCGGTGCGCTAGTTAGACTTGAAACTTTCAAATGATCTTCGTTTGTTTTAGTGGATTTAACATTTTTATCTAGATAGTTTAAAAAGGTATCGGTAGCGGGTACTGTTTTGACGTCAATATCTGGTTTCGGTGTCTTTCCATTTATTGGCAGTTTCGTATTAGCAGTCTTTGTGAATGTCACTTCAGGTTTAGAAGTGCCTGAGTTTTCTATGGGTTTTATTTTCGATCCTTCATTAACAGATAAGGCTGTTGTCAAGATTTTGGGTTTTACTTCTGTTGATACATTTAATTTTAACGGGTTCAACTTTTGAGCTTTTACGTCAGATGAGGCTGGTGTTACAGCATTATCAAGTAAATCATTTTGAGAGGTTGATTGTATTTTTTTAACTTTTCCCGTACCCTCGACATCCGTTTCTGTTTTTAATAAAGATTCTTTTATCTGAACTGTGATATGACGTGAATCTTCCTTGTAATTGTTAATATTTGATGTTCCTTGTAAGTTTTTAGTCGTCAATGGTATGCTTGAAATTTGTTTAGATTCGATATTTTTAGAAATTGGTAACGTGGAACATTGGTCTGTTGAATGGGATTTATATTGAGAATGTACAGTATCTTGTTTTCTGCTGGTGGATGGCTGTGTTATATCGTTTTTGGGAACTGTTACATCTTGTTTATTTGAAGAGCTATCGTTTTTAGAAGGCAGGTCAGATACGCGTTTGTCTCGTGGAGATCCTATGCGAAGCGTAGGACTTTCAGTGTTGTTAGGGATATTTTGTTTAGAACGCTTAGGAAGGGAATCTTTCATTTCCTTCAACATTTCCTTAAGCTTTTTCTTTTCGTCTTCTTCATTTCGTTTACTCGTTGAGGCAATTTTTGTTAAGTCATTTTCGGTTTGCGTGTAAATATTTGAAGCTGCATTTGAAATGCTTACATTATTTTCCAAATTCTTTTCTAAATATTTTTTATTCAACGAACAATATGAACAGGAATTCACCACATTATTATAATTTCTAAAACATTGGGTGCAAATCCAATTCCCCGATGGGTCAGGACCAATATCATTAACAGAAACAGTTCCGCTTGCTTCCAATAACTTAAGTTTCTTGTTTTCAATAATTTTTGCTGCTTGTTTATCTAACTCGCTAATATTTGGTAATAGTTTTACATAGTTTGGTTCTATCGCAGAATTTCTCTTTCTATTTTCAAAAATTTGTTTCAAAAAACTTTTGTCTGTTTTGATTTTTTCTTGTTTAGATTTTTCAATATTGATATCCATAGAAGCATTGTTAGGTAAAGAACGTCTATCGCAATTTGACTTTGGATTCATTGGTCCAGAACGTAAAGCAACGCTGTCGTCGACTAATAATCTATTGGGTGGTTGAGGAGCTGGTCGCTTCCTTGAAAAATTTCGTGGAAGAGAAGTGGTTATCGTCGGAGGCAAAGGTGCGCGTCTTTTACCAGGTACGTAGGGAGCTCGTCTCTGAAAGCTTTCGCTCGTCGCTCTTCGTCCCCGTTCAATATTATTTCCGCCGTTGGTTATATTCCTGCGGTCAGACGGAAGGCTAAATGCGTCGTATCTGTCGCTGTTTTCTCCTTTAAATAAACCGTATTTCCGATGAAGAGTTAGGTTGCGTTCTCTTTGCCTCCGAAAATTTCGATCCCGCACCCTTTTCTTATAGGAATCTGTGGGCGGGCTGAGGGGAGGCAAAACGATCGGTTCTGTAGCTGCTTTGTAATTCAAAGGTTCCAGGAATGCGAAGCTGACAGCGGTACGATCAGATCCAGCGCTAGAAAGGCTCTCGCTGGAGATGGAGCGGTCGTCGCGACGAAGCCACGAGAACAACGTCCAAATACCACCGGAGAGTGGTCGCGGCCGCGGTGCCTCCGGTTTTATATCGCCGTTCATCACCTTCTGTAAATTCAAACAGAACAACATAAATTACACTTGAACAAGTACATATTTCATATAATTTGCGTTAAGATAATACGCAATTTGAAATTCACTTTTATCTTGAAACAATTCATACTTACTGCGAAACGATGAGAAGTAACAAAAACCGAAACTAGAGCATATTAACCTCGATTTCGCACGGATCGCGATATATTTAAAGCGTTGTTAACGCCCTTCATCGTAAGAAAAATTCAATTAGTAGATTCGGGCAGAGGTCAAACACGGATAACAATCATAATGTAACAACTTTTGTCAACGAAGACAATTGTCAATAATAGTGTAGTGCACTGCGCGGTACGGTACGGCGCGGCGCGTCGCGGAGGTGGAGCGCAGTGGAGAACAAAGCGAGGTCGCGCGGCCACTGAGTCGCCAGCGCCGGCCGCCCGCCGTCCGTCGCCCGCCGCCTGCAGCGCGCCGCCCGCACAGCTATATTTAGCCTAACTTCGCGATTCACTTTTTGCTATTTCTATTTCATTTTAAAACACTCGGCCCCACTTAAATTAGGATACTTCCCGACTTTTTGGTAGCACCTCAATTGTTACGATTAAAATTTGAAGAGATGAGTAATACGCTGCTGTATATATTTCACAACTTTGCCGATAAATTAAAGGTTTCTATATTCGTAACGCAACTGAGGCAATTTATTTGTAAAATTGTATTCAGTATTGCACACGTACATAGTATTCTTACCCAATCTTTCTGTGTGTCACCTTCACAAAAAAGAAATAGTATGTAGTTCAAAAAATTCAATTGTAATCGATAATGAAATATAATTTAATTAATTGATCGCCCACTCTATCCTTGTTATCTAGACCACTCTTGATTCATCTTGACAATCAGCAAGTTGCTACTGTTAATATAGTTAAACGATAGTATCCTTTGGGCGTACGTAGACCTTGAACAATGTAACGTACCTGTAAAATACGCCTGTAATCAGACGGGTAGACAGAGATTACAGGTTTACATTTGGCGCGTTTACCATAACATTCATGACCAACACTCAAGGGCACATACAAAAGTCAAGAAAATTAATGATCAATTTATTCTTCTAATTTACAATCACTTCAATTATTTAAATTATTAACTACATAACAAAATTATACTTTAGGATCCTTGTTCGCTGCGATTTTTTACGGAGAGGGAATGTTTCTCGACGGAGGACTGTATGACGAGGCAGGAGGCGGCAACGCGCGCCGTCAGCTCCGCCTGGTTCAGCTCGTGCGCCCACGGCACGCGGCCCCACCGTACTAACTGACACACAAAACACGCTATTATTTTCATAATTATAACCACATACAGGTAATTTAAATACTGTAGACCCCCAGGCGTTCGAAATGGAGAAAATTAGTTGTTTATGCTAATTGTAACCTGTTTAAATAATTTTAATGTGACTTTGACAATATTTATTCAATCTTTCTCATCTCAATATGTTACATTTTAAAGGGTGTTAGAATTAAGGGGGTCTACTTTTTTTCTGGGGGTGGTAAAGAATAGCTTAGGTCCATTAATTTTTATTTAATTGTATTACCTGATATTCCTCTTCCAGACGGGCGAGCATTACAGCTTCAGTAGGTTCTAAGTACCGATCAACGCACGCCAACATTAGCACTGGTGATTTTAATGCCTCCATTCCAAATGTAAACCCTAAAATATTTATTTTAAAACTCATAAAAAAAATACTCGTGTTATTTTTACCGACTAAAATTTTATAAAATGATGTTAACATACCATTTAATGCTGCAAAATCATATGATAGAAAATGACGCGCCAACACTTCTCTTGTTTTGATGCTGATTGGAGGAGGTTCTAAGTCAAGAGATATTTCTTGCTTAATACCAAATCTATTCTGAAACCAATCTAAAACTGGTCCCCATTTTTCTTCTTGTAATACTCTCAAATCTTTTTCTTCCTGAAACAGAGCATAAATAATTTAGAATTTTACTAAAGAAGGCGTTGATTATTTCTCACTTTTGTAAGTATTTTTTGAGAGGTAACATTAAAGATCATTTTGTATACACCTAGTAAAATATTTTTTATAACTTACTTCTGAATGAAAAAAAAGTGTGTCTGTACTGAGATATTCTAGTATATATGTTGTTATGTCATGTGAAGTTAATTTTCCCGGATTATCCAATGCAGTGTTGCATAGTGCAGTCTGAAACATAAATTAGTTTTTGTTTAAATTACTGACCAATAAAACATCTTGTTTCTCCTCATTACATACAAGAATCTGACCCTTTAATATTAATATATAGGTATAGATAAACATTATTTACCAAGTGCATAGAAGGCTGGGCTATATTCTCCTCTTGTGAGTCCCATTCAGCTGCAATGGCTCTTGCCAATTGTTCACTACCAACTTTAAGCACTTTCCCATTAGGAGTTTTTAATCTTCGATGGTCCAATGTTATTTCCCATTTGTCTTCATTTTGAATAATATCAGTACGGCGGTAAAATCGCTTGTGAGTTGCTAAAATGTAATTTAATTTAAAACATCTTTATCTTATATTTGCTTTTTAATGGACAATAATTTCTGATAACTTTTAATGAATTTTGCTATTAACAACATACAAAAAAAGAACCCAAAGATGTGGCAGTCGTATGTAAAACACGTCCTATATCTTTAATTTTAATTTCCTGAGGTATAAGGATAGTAATAGTGAACCTATTGTTGCAAACCAAAAATTGAAAACATCCATTTTCTTCAGCAATAATCTCTCTCACTTACCATAGAATTGACATCCAAGTAATTTTGGGCTTTGACGCCTCAATACATTACAAAAAGGTTGACTTGACTTAGATAAAGTTTTGAAAATAGAATAAGCCAAAGCTCCAGGAACCATTTTGAGTTTTATTCGAAGATTTTAAGAAATCAAATACTGAAATAAAAAATTAATAAAATTACTAAATGACATTAGACGGATATAGTTTTCAAAAACTTGCGTATCTTATCTTTTATCTGTATAAAACCTAAATCCCCTTCTTATCCCAAATGTGTATGTTTGGGATTAAAACACTTCGGTACACTACCTTATTACCAATCTCTGATTTTTTTAATTATACAAACTTACACAGTGAAAAAGATTACATTTACATCAAAAAATTAGTAGTAATTGAAAATGTTTTACATTTTGAATTTGTATCGAAATTCCCGAATTAATATGATTATTTCAATTTAACATTGACAGTAGACTTGACATTAATGACAGCAAAATGACAGGTAGATCAAAGAATAAATAAAATAGACAGGGGTTCGAACAGAGACAAATGAAAATAACTACTCTGTAGATAATGATTCAGTCTAGTCTAGGGATGGGTAGGTGACAATTTTAACATTAACGTAAAGTATCAAAGAGTATATAAAATAAGAGACGGGACTCTTGACTAATTAGATACACAAACGGAGAATAAAAATTGTCATTTTCAATGCTAGCAATATTATGAACAAGTCTACGTTGCTACCAACCTAAAAAAAATCAATCTGTCAATTTCCGTTTTGACGTTTGAAAGTATTATTCGAGGGAAAACAATTTTGGAAAAATAAAACAATTTCGTTAATTGCAACTTTATTTAATCTTCTGACTAAAGCGAACATATTTTAAGAACGCAACATAATGCTCATTGCTTTCGTAATAATACCATTATTGTTTAGTTCACCAACAAAATACCCCCTTTGATAAATGCTTATTTGTTCCAGTTTGTTTATTTGATAGATCATATTTTCTGATAGAACTGGAGTAGTAGTGCCACTCTTGTCTTGAGAAAAAGAATAACACTGGAAAGAGATTAGCTCCTCTCTGTTGGTAAAATATTTAGAAAATTGCTAACAAGACAATATGCATTGAAGCAAAACAAATCGTCATCATCAAGCTCACTATACGGACACACTATACTCCACTGAGGAGCTCGGAGCCTACCCTCAAGAATGCGACTAGGTCTTATTCAACAATGCAGAGCCAGTGAGGGTTAGTTGACTTCGCACATATCTTTGAATTTCTATGCAGTTGTATGCAATTTGTAATTACAGTAAGAATGTCTGATGGATGTTATCATGAAATTCGAAGAACTCATTACTATATAGCGGAGATCGTACCTGGATATGTAAAATATGATCCGGTCAAGCGCCAACTGCACTGCCGACGCTCCAAATAGTCCCCTAATCCAAACTTTTCCTATCAAAACATTGCAAATGTACAAGTCATGTTAAATATTATGTACTGTAAAAATAAAAAATAAATTCATAAAATTATCATGAACCTAAAGATTCCGCATTTTAACTCTTTTGTTATTACTATTCTCCATAGATGTGTAACCTATAGATTCCTTAACGAGGAAAAATAATGAGCTTAGGAGGCATCATTTTGGGGAAAAGTACCTGTGTTGAAATTTAAATTATTTGTAAGAAAATTGTATACAATCTCTGTTTATTTTTTATTACTTAGTTCAAAAAAAGTATAAGATATATAATAAGTTGTGATATTTGTAAAATCCAAATTTAATAAATTAATTTTGTTTCATATTTTTCACTAAATGCTATTTTTTTTTATCTTTTGTACTTGATACTTAATTCCCTATATTTTAGTATATTTTTATTTTCTATACACTGCATTTCCCAATTTCGAGAAAATCTTATTATGTTAGTGTATATTTTATATTAAAGTCTAATACATATTTCTAAAAATTGTCATAATATTAACATCAAACTAATATAAAACACTAAATTATAATATAAATAATGTATAGGTTACACATCTATATATCAATATTGACATTAATATAGTTATTATGCTAGTGCATTTCCTGCAACATGGTGACTCTTTTTTAGATTTGCGGTTAAACTACTCCATATAATAAGTTATTTTTCAAAATTTAGTTTAGAATTACAATACTTAAACAGTCAAACTTTGTAGCACAGATGTTGCAGCGACATGCAGTCAGCAATTCTGAAGCAGATTCCTTCATTTAATAATTCTGTAGAACTTGAAGAGGTGCAATCATTCATCTGCAACAGTATGAACATAATCAACATCAATTTAATTATTGCTTTTCACCTAATTACATACCTTATTAAAAAAAAACTGGTTTTCTTTGATTATATAGATTTCTCCCCATTTAATTACAAAACTTCTTTGAAATTCAATTCTCTACAATGATGGAACTCACAAACCATGTAAAAATGATGATTAGTTTTTACAGGTACAGATTTTTTGGAACTTTTATTGCCTGCCCATTTTTGTGAAATGTCTATAATAGAATCATAAATCAAATTAGTTTGAAAAACTTGTCATGACATGACCAATTTACAGTTTAATCTACAATATTTGAAACAATAATAGAGAGATATCCTACACACAACCTAAATAATGTTTAAGTTAATTTTTATTATTGAATCTTTTTCATGTTTCGAGCAAACCATATTATACTAAATATCAAGCCAATTTAAAAGGTTAAAATTGTTCAAATAATTGCTGGAAATATGTGCTTTGGGAATTATTATTAATACTTAATATTTACCACTTACCATGTAGAATTTGGCATATGTCTTGTACTTACTTTTATGTTATTTTCATCAATTTTTTTTGTAAATTTACTTTTCAGCAATCAGCAAAAGGTCATAAGTTCTAGTTCAATATTTAGTTCTTTTAAATATGAATAGAATGTAAAATTTTATCTTTGTTCAAATTCTATTTCTGTGAATCCATAGATTATGTTTTCTACTGCTTTTTACTTGTTTCACACCTAAAAACAGAAAGTATTA